TTGCTAACACTCAGAGCATCACTAAAATATAGATATAGAACTTTGCGAAAATTTTCGCATATTGGAAACAATTTTTAGCTACTCTGCCAAGTAGAGTGTGTGCAGATCTTTCTAGCCATCCAAGCTTCTGAGATAGCTTGTAACTTGGCATTACCCAGAAGAACAGAAAATTATATAAAATATTTAAGTATAGCCTGATATTTTTATTGTTAATGGAGGAATATATTCATAAATTAAGCACGTTATTTTTGTCGTTATTTGAAGGAATTTTTGTTTGTAATTCTAGAAAGAGAGACTACTTCTATTATTAACACCAGCTATTAAATGCTCAAGAATTTATGGAAGGTTAAAATTTAAGACCTAATTAAGATACACTTATAAACAACACTTCTTAACATAAAGCGAGAGAAATATAACGAGCCACGATATAAATAAATTGAACTCTTTCATTTTCATGCTAACAATAATATGAATCAACAACAGGAATTTCAAATAAATGTTGGCTAAGGTTTCTTCTACTACAATTATTAATTTGCAGAAGTTTCACCAAGCGCACAAGTGGTTAAGTTTGCTTATTGAAACGAAGAAAATACGCGACTAAAACATGACTAAAAGGCAAAATATTTGCAGTAAATTGTAAAAATCACATGATAAGTTCTCAAAATTTCTTCAAATACATTTAATGGAGACTTGAAGAAAGACTTTTAGCGCTTATTTTTTAAACCAATACCTTTACACATTAACATAGTTAAAACATATCGAAACAACGCATATGAACTTCTGAAATATGGTTATACTCCTACGTATAAGGGATAGTATAATATATAGTAGTTGAGAAAGGAGATTAGCCGATATATCTCATACCTTATTACGCGATTTCAAGTATCCCGCTGCATAACCTTCATTACCAAATTCGTTCCATGTCTCGTCGCTTTGCATCGGATCATCTGACTGGAATGGAAAATTCATTTATATGAGCCAGATAAAGTAGACAACCTGTCAGTACACAAATTACTAAATTTTACAATAAATTATATACATCAAGCTTAAAGAATAGCCTGTGTCCTGACCAACCTATAACCCAACGCCATAATATGCAAGTAAACATTCTCGTAATAAATTCAAAAGTAAATTGTTATTGTTGATAATGCTGTACCTTTGTGTTCGTTATAAAAGGCGGATCGAAGGGATACATAGATTTGCCTCACCGGATACCGAAATACGTATGGTTGCCTTGGGTATTTGTCTGTTGAATTGTGCGAAGAAAACCTTAATTTACTGTACTACGATCCCGATGCCTCAGTGCAGAGCATTTGTCCGTCATGTAATAGACATCGTCAGAGCCAGAAACCACTATTAACAAAAAATCACCAAAAACACTGAACCGAGAAAGGGTGGCCAACTGAGATCCTACTTACTTCTCATACCTCACTTTGCGATCTTAATGAGGCAATTAATTATTTGGTTGGCTATTTTATGCCGAGGTCTTCTTAGCACGATTCAACAGACACAAGTCCAGGACAACCCTCCTGCTGTATCCGGTGAGGCCAATCTACGAATCCCTTCGACCTGCCTTCTCAAACGAAATGAAAGGTATGCCAGTATCAATCTTTTAAGGAATTCTTCGAAACCCAGCTTCTATTCATATCTCAGAAACGTTATACTTATCTATAATGTATCGGTGAGCCTTAAAATCAGTATTGTTTTTACTTGAATTCATTCTGAATTTATTAATTCAACACTTCACTTCGGCCCGCCTTCGATTATATTCCCTATATTTTGAGATACTTAAGCCGATAGTTTTAGGCCGACATCAGGTGCTGGTCTCTTACTAACATTAAACCAAACTTCCTTTACCAAGTAATTCATTTTGAGCTGCGTGGATCAGTGTCATTAAATTAAGAAAAACAAGCATTCTATTCAAAATTTTGCGTTATTTGAATAAGAATCCAGCAACATACACATAACTCGAAACTCAGTCCTTCCTGCTACCTAGGTTTTTCTAGTTTTTAAAATAAGTTTCTTTTAGAACTAAATAATTCAATTTAGCTTATGTTAAATATTTCTACAATAAACAAATGTCTTACGTGGGCAACATCCGGTCGGACGAAAAGACTTTCTGGAGACGTCTGGATATTTGCAGTTGGTCCAGGGGCACCCTTGAAATTAAGGAAATCATGTTAATATACGTAGCAGATAAGAACACATTTTAAATGGGCTGAAAGGCTGTGCATTACTAGTTATCATACAAGCGTTAAGGTTGTAGGCCAATTATTATTAAGAAAACAAAAAATTTGACAAAGTCCAGGCTATTCCAGTGAAAACCATTTCGTTTGTTAGCAAAATAAGAACTATACTATGCTAGTAAGATAAACTTTTCTTTTAACTATGTTTAAGGTATCCAGCTAGCATTAATTAGTAATGGTTCATATCAAATTCCTTGCATCAATATTTGTAAACGTCGATTTTGCTGGTTGCAATCCTCTATTATGGCTCTTCTTTCAGTGTTTTGTAGATTCATCCGGTTATCAACATGGCGATAATATACGAATAAAATGGACATAGATGCAAAGATGCCTCAAACGTCTTTAATTTTGTGACATCAACCCAGCCTTGACTGATTTTAAAAGGGCATATACCTGAGAATAGGCTCACAATGGAGCTTCAAAATGTAATCCAACCAAAAGGTTACTATTTCGTGGAGGTTTATGCTAAAAAATCTTTGTATACAAGCAATAAAGCTGCAGTAAAGTGTATGAATGAGTAAATTACCTTTTTACCAGGAGACCCAGGTGGTCCTTTATCTCCGGAATCTCCTATTTGTCCCTGTTCACCCATTTGGCCCTTTTAATAAAAGCATGAATACAATTAGATCTGAGTTAAATTTTATTATAGTTTGGCTTGAATAATAAATACTGAAAAGTAATATATAGCGCAAACGTCTAAAGCGAATAATCACTGCCCGAGAAACGGCTTAGAAAACAGAAAGTTATTTGACAAATATACCTACATTTTGCCAAGTGACGCAATGTGCAAATGAACATGTGGTGTAATATGGATATTATAAAAGCAAATGGACACAAGTAAATCATCCCTGAGCTTAGAGAACAGCTTAATCTCAATTACTAAGTATTTGTGTGTGTGCACATAGTTGCTTTGCTAAACATCGACTCTATGGCCTCGATCATGAAATAAATATATATGAACAACATGATGTTGGTTTATTTTAATATATTACAAGAGATTACCTATGGAGTTATTAATGTCCATACATTTTTTCTCTTTCATATTTACCTAGACTTTCTACCATACCATTTTTTCAAACGATAATTATAATGAAATTACATGTTATTATATGCGATATTTAATTAGGTTCAAACGGATGGACCCAAGCTGGTAACTTCTAAGTGTACTTTATTTTTTCATTAGCTTAGGAATCGGGTAGCAGAGTACCTTTTATTTTAATTATAATCGATCGGATTTGCTCGAATCACCCCTCATAGGGTCGGGCTTTGTGAATTGATAGCTTAATTGTAGATAAAAATGTAATTATTTTGACTAAAATAGCCAAAGACTAAAAGGACGGGTCATAGCTTATTGTACGATTCGAGCAATTATTGGGAGAATAACAATATATAAGATATTTCTTGGAAGATCCTTTAAGAGCTTCGTAATCACTTAGCATCATAAAATACATGGGAACACCTGAACTACTTTAAATCTAACCCTTGGCAATTGGTGAATATGTATGACTTATTTATTTATATTTCAATATACGCTACTGCAATTTGAACCTATATCTTAGGATAATACATATCCAAAGCGATTTATTACCTGAGGTCCATCTCGTCCACGAGGTCCAATATTTCCCTTTGGCCCACGCTCTCCTTTGCCTCCATAGTCACCCTGATACAGAAAAAAAGTTAGAATAAATAATAAAATTTGGCTGTTACTATAGACCATTATGTCAGCAAGTATTTAGGAAAAAATGATTATGCGAAATCTCATTCATAGCAGCATTTAAAACAGAAACTAAAAGAAAAATTAGAGGCGAGTAATGGTGATAGAATTTCAAAAGCATGAATTTACTAGGCGGCTAAATATGATAGCGTAGCTGATATTATAGCTTTCCTCACAAAGCTAACCTTCTGGGATGCAAGATTGGGTGACGAGCATTAAGTTAGGGGGCCTATACATATCTGTGTGGGAAAAAAGCAAACATAAGTCCTTGAATCACCTTAAGTGAAACACGGTGGATAAGTTAGTATTTTAAAAATTACTGACATTTTATAAACATAATCATGAAAAAATCTAAAGATTAAGTATGCATAAAATCGGTGCTATTATCGAAATATAATGATTCAACACCAATTAGTCTTCTCTGAAGATGCTTGCTTGTTGCTTTGATAATAGAGGAGCACTTGCTAGCTTGGCAGGCCAGTATCCAAAGTTTAACTCAGATTTCTTTCCTATAAAATAATCTTGGAAGAACCTCGATTCATTTTTTTTATACAAACTAG